TTAATAACTTTATAGTTATTATTAGTACGGTATACGCTTTTATTAATATTCCCAAAGAGATTTGTATTATATTATATAATAAGTTAGATTTAGAGTGCTATTAGAACTAGCTCCTTTTTTATAATAATAAGTTTATTATAAATACTATTTATAAGGTATTTAAGGACTATACTTTATTATTTAAAGAGGTTATTAAGCTCTATAAGCTATGCGCCGCTTAGTATTAAGATTTTTAGTATAAGTTCTTTTTTACTTACTTTTTTAATTAGTATAATTACTTTTTTAGTAATTATACTAAGGTCTTTAAGCTATACCCTAAGTTCGATAATCTAGATAATAATACTAACGCTTATTAAACTATATATAACTTACTATTTAGCTAGCTAAGTAAAACTACTTTTATTACCGTTTAGCATTTTACTAAGTCCTTTATTAATTACGAAATTACTTTTTTTAATTAGTAATCCTTATTTTATTATTTTATTTATATCGTTTTTATTACGTTAGCTTTTATAATATTTAAGTATATTAATTATAAAAAGGAGCTTAATAAGGATCTCTCTAAAAGTAAAAAGCGTATTATAAATAAGAATTTCCGTACTAAGATTTATAATATTTATAAGGGCCTTACTATTATAAAATACTTTACGAATATTAATAAGGAGCTTTTTATTTAAAAAAAAAGAGATTTTATTATTAATAGTTATATTTTAAGTATTAAGCGTTATACTTATTATTATATATAGGATAATAAGGCTCCCCCGCTACCCCTTATTAATTATATTACTTAGGCTCTTATTCTTAGCTTTTATTTACCTAGGCCTACCCCTAGTTTTTCTATTTCGAATGTTAATAGTCATCTCTTTATATCTAACTTTATTAGTAATATTACGTAAACCGAGCTATATAATCCTTTTACTAATACTACTAGTACTAGTAGCTCTCGTTATAACCTTAGAATAAATAGTACTTATAATATTTATAAGTCGGCCAATAAGTCTAATACTATTATTATAATTAGTACCTTATTTAGCTCTCTTTTTACGTAGCGTAGTACTTACCGCGGTTAATCCGCTATATATATACCTATTTAAGTACTTAATTTCTATTTTTTTTAATATTAATACGGTACTAATATTATTTAAGTTTAACCCTCTTACTTTAGTATAAAAAGACTAGTGCGGCTTATTATTAATATAATAAATATATAAAAAGATATAGAGGCTATAAAGAGGGAGGAAGGGGTAATATATTAGAATATAAACTTAGGCTTCGGCTTAAGGGTTACGAAATAAACTATTATAAAAGAGGATAAGCGGTATATTATTTAGTATATAGTTCTTTATTTAGAGGCGAGTTAGCGCTACTTATAGCCCGTTTCCTAGAGACGTATTAGGCGTAGGTAACCGATTTAACCTTAATTATATATATATATATATTAATTATAAAAGCTGATTATATAATATTTACCTTAATGACGTATAAATTTATTAATATACTAATTATATAATAGCTCTTTTTATCTAGCTACTTAGTAATCCTTATTATTTTTTTTTTTTTTATAGCTTATGCGGCCGTAGATAAGCTTTATATAATACTTTATATAGTATTTAATACTCCGCTAGCCTTTTTATTTAGAGTAGTTTTTTAACTTTAGTGCCCTAGATAGGTAGGTAAGTACTAGGTTTTATAGTAGGTCTCTTTATTATATTTATTTTATTAATCTCGCAATATTTATAGATATATATATATTATATATTATATATTATATTAAAAATATATATTATATCGAATATTATATTATTTTTTTTTCTTATTAAGTATAATACCCTTTTATTAAGCTAAATTATAGCGTATTAATTATACTAATTTTTTTTTATTTAGACTACCCGCTTACTTATTATAGCCTCTAATAATAGTAATAACCCGAGCCCTTCTATTACTACTACTAATATTATAATTAAGTACTACGCTTTTTAAAGTATTAGAGTTAGAGGATTTAGCCCGCGGGCTAATAGGGCTCGAATAATTATTATAAAATAGTTAAAAACTAAAGAAGCTAGCCGAGGCCCTATACCAGAGCTTAATTCGAGCCCGGAGCTATAGCCCGCTAGTTAAGTAAAGTTTAAAAAGGATAATACTACTACTACGGTAATAATAAATATACGTCTTCCTTTAGTTCTTTTTTATTAATAGTAAATAACTAATTACTAATCTCTTTTTTTTTTTAGCCCGAGCCCGGTAATAAAGAGTATATTAACTTAGTAAGTACGTAACTAGAGTAGTAATAATAATAGTACTAATAGTAGTATTAATAATACGAAGGGTCCCCTAGGTAGTAGTAGTAATAGTAATACTAATAGTAAGAGGAGACTACCGAAGGCCCTAAAGGGCATTAGTAATACTACGATAGCTATATATACTAACGGTACTAGTATTATAATAATTCTAAAGAAATTCGTATAGGTTATAATAATATAAGGAAGGCGTTTATAGTATTCGAATTAATATAATACTTATTATTAATTATGTATTTTTATATAATGTTACCGTTATTTAGATTTATATAAGAGGAATATAACCTATTTATAACTTTTAAAACTCCCAATAACTCTATAGTAATGATAATTCGGGTAGTAATTGTCGTATATGTAACTACTACTATTGATAGTTACTCGAGTATTATGGGGGAAGTAACCTGCCCCCTCCTCCCGGTAAGGTATAGCAGTATATTGACGATGATTCCAATGTATTCGAGTCTAGAGCCATCAAGGCTGGAAAGGATTGAAACTTACAGCTGCTAAACAGTGCCGTTGTATATTCTATCCACCGCCAGCTCGCATCTCGCTCTTGTTACGACTTACCAAATAGTTCAGACGATAGTCAGATAAGAGGCAAAGTGGCATGTTAGATCTTGGAAAGTGACAGTTTGAAGGGACCTACAAGTTCCAACAAGCGTTTATTGATGAGTTCTCTGCCAGTCCCAATTGAACTTCTATTCCAAGAAATAGATATAGGAATTATATCTTGGTCTAGTGTTACACATACCATAACTCTCCTACGGGGGGCTGGCTCGCCATGCGCCTTTATCCAGTCAAAAAAGCGACCGGAGAACTGTTAAATGGGCCACAAGGTCATGTTTCTACTTTTTCATACAGAATTACGCGGATTCGAGTAACTGAGTTTGCATTGGTTCACTTACTCTCTCGGTTCCTGGACCGGTTGCTGATGGACTTTAACCCATGACAGATGCAACATAAAATACTCAATGTGACATCAGCTAGCTACTATTTTGAGTCGCACCTAGATTTTACACCGTAGTAATAAAATGAACCAACTACACACAGTCAGTCTTCTAGCTGTTGTATAAAAGGAGCTTTACCATCTGCCATCTAATTTAGCTGCTGTACTCGCACCGGATTCGGGGCCCCTATCCGGAATTTCTGGTGCTTAAGCGTTGGCAAAGATGCACACAGCAGATTAAAATGAACATGTATGCTAACTTTGGAGAGAATGATTGAAATATTGGCAGAGATCTGGTGAATAACCATCAAATGGTTTACTCACTTTGAAGATAGTAGTCATCCGACAACTCATCTTACCCACTTGAAACCCACAACATCATTCGATGGTATACAACATCACAAGGATCTCAAGTTTTCAGCACCTTCAGGTAGTGAAATGGAAGTCTTGTAAGCATAGCCTTAGACTCGGTACTCTCGGCATCGAATTCTCCATTGGCCTGGTCCTGACTGTCTTAACGAAGCTAGAGCTGGTCATGACCAATGTGACAGTCGTCATGGACTCGACACTGCAGTGCAGGACGAGCAGGGAAGATCTCGGAGGCATTGGAAGGAAATGAGTCGTTTCTTACTTCTTTAATCTTGCTGGCACGTGTCTGTTCTTTCCCGGCGTCTTGGCTTGGTGAGCTGATGCGGTTGAGTATGGGGTTCAGACTAGATATGCGGCTGCTCAGCTGGAAACCAAGGTAAATGCCAACTGAAAATTCTCTAGAGGCATTGCTTGAAATTGACTCATGAGTTTGACGGCATAGATGGCTATCGGCTACAAGGACACATTCTCGAACATTGTATGTATATGCCGGCCCATTCCAACGTTGTGAGTGCCACACATGGAAAGATTCTACGATGTTGTTGTTATCAATCCAACAACGTACTCACGAGCTGGTTTCCAAACCAGCAGTGACTGCCTTGGGTACCAAAATTCCTATCTTCTTACACTGGGGAACATCGTGGGCATTGCAGCCGTGGCGGGCGGGGTTCTACGATTCTTGTGGGAAGTGATGACAACGACTTGGAGAGTGAGTGATAAGGAGTAAAAAGAACCATCGGCATAACGAAGAGCTGCTGACCATTCTTGCAGCAGGCGCGAGTCCTGATCAGATAACGGAAGACAGCAAGGAACCCGTTGTTGCGGGGGATATTACCAGTGATGGACTAAAACAAAGACGGGGGACGCTGCTATGGTTGAGCTACAAATCATGGGACTAGACAGACTATCCTAGGCACCCATCATAACCACGGCGGACTTATGTTTGTTGAAAGCGCTCCGTATGTGACCAAGTCTGCTTGACACGTTCTTAGTCCGACCTAATCGGTTTAAAGTTTCGTGTTCAACTTTTAAACGGCTGCCTATATAAAGTGGACTTCAAATCATGAATCGGGTCGCCCGAGTGCAATTAGGGCCGGCACCATCGTTCCCTTTTTGGGCAATCGCGAAGGAGCCAATCAACAACCGTCGAGTGGACATTGCCGTGTAAGTGCTCCCCGCGGTAACCCACACTGCTGGGTCTTTGATGAATGACGCCAAGATCCACGAGCGACTTTAGGGTCAAAGATAGCAGTCAACATAGATTAGGCTCCAAATTGGGCCCGTGTTGTTACATCTACCTATCTATACACCTAGTCACACATCTCACTGATCAGCCTCTCGGTAACTTCGGTCACCATTGAACAAACGAAATCCATGTTCGGCTTTCCTTACTGCTGGGATGCAGTTTCCGAAGACTCTCCTTCCTTCTCCACCTTTTCAATATTCTTCTTCTCAATGGTGGTCTGTTTCTCCCACATGGCATGGTATCGGCCTCCGAGCGCCAACAGCTCGGCGTGCGTGCCACGCTCAACGACATTTCCCTTGTGGAGCACCACGATCTGATCGGATGTGGTGATGGTGGAGAGCCGGTGGGCGATGGTGATCGTCGTACGACCCGCAGTGACACGCTCCAGGGCGTCTTGGATCTGCCTCTCGGTGTGCGAGTCCAGAGATGCCGTGGCTTCGTCAAGCAACAAGATGCGAGCGTCCTTCAGAATCGCTCTCGCGATGGCAATTCTCTGTCGCTCGCCTCCGGAGAGTTTGAGTCCGCGTTCTCCGACCTTGGTGTCGTATCCATCGGGAAATGCGAGAATGCGATCGTGGATATTGGCAGCCTTGCATGCCTCGTATACGTCGGCTTGAGAGGCATTCCGGTCGGCGTAGAGCAGGTTGTACATAATGGTCGCATTGAAAAGTACAGTGTCCTGAGGCACAACGCCAATGTTCTTCCGTAGGCTGTCGAGCTTCAGATCCTTCAAGTCGTGGCCGTCGACAGTGATTGATCCTTCATTGATATCGTAGAAGCGGAAAAGAAGCTTCAGGCAGGTTGACTTGCCGCTGCCAGACTCTCCAACAATGGCGGTCTTGGTGCCCGGGGCAACAGTGAAGCTGACACCGTTGATCGCGGGTTCGCCCTTTTTGCTCTGGTAAGAGAATTTGACGTTATTGAATGCGACCTCTCCCTTGACGGCGGGCAGGGTGACGGCGTCGGGCTTCTCCACAATGCCAGACGTTTCTTTGAACTAGAGAACAAGGTTAGCGTTCCAGAGGTGGTGTACTGAAATGAACAAGGACCCACCAGCTCCAGCATTCGCTCTGCCTCAATAAGATTGTTTTGCAGCATGGTGTAGTAAGTTCCGAAAAAATTCAGTGGACCCTGCAGTTGTACAAAGTAGTTGATCAAGCTGACGAAATCGCCAACACTCTGCTCGCCCCGTGAAATCTTGTAGGCAGAGACTGCGACAAGCAAAGCAGTGCCAAGAGAGAAAATAGAACTCTGTGTAAGGTTGAGAAAGTTGAGGGACCACTGCACCAGCCGTTCCGCGCGTTGGTACACCACTACATGTTCCTTGAATCTCTCAGTTTCGGGCACAACTGCGCAATTGTGCTGCACAGTCTCGTATGCCATGATGGCGTCAGTCTTGGTAGCTTCCATCTCACGATTCTTGGTGGCCATGTCTCTTCTTTGCTTGCCGCGATATTTGGCCACATAGATGGTCAGGAAGATGTACGACCACATGATGAAGAACACAATAATGGTGTAGAAGGCGTCATACTTGGCAAAGAAGACAACACCAGCGACAAAGATATCGAACACCATGGGGAACACTTGGAAGCAGAAGTTCTCCAGGAAGGTGTTCATCGCAGAACCGCGGCTCAGGGCACTGGTCACCTCTCCAATCTTTTTGTTCAGATGGAACTCCAGAGAAAGCCCCAACACGTGTTCGAAAGCAGCGCAGGAGAGTCTGCGGAAGAGTGACTGAGAGACCGGGATCCAGAGGACAGACCTTGCGGCACCGAGAATGCCCTGGTTGCCTTGGAGAGCACGGTAGACGACATAGAGAACAATTTGTTTGTAAGGAATGGTGCCATAGCCGAGGGAGTCGACAAGAGTTCCGAGCTGAATGGGCGCTAAAACGTTGATAGTCCGCTGACCGATCAGGAGTATGATGCAAACGACCACAATTCCTTGATATACCGGAGAGTCTTTAGGCCTGGCGCGCGATAAGTTAGCAAAGTCCGCGAAGCGGTTGAAAGCAGGGTCACTATACCATAGATACGGGAAAAGAACCCTGAACCCAGCAAAGTAGTCAAGCCATCCCGTACCCGAGACCTGGGTTCTGGCAGGAGGCTTGTGAGCAGCAGGTCCGTGGGGGTGGGCGCCGCCGTAGTTATGAGACGCTCCGTTTCCGTTTCCATTTCCATTCCCAAGAAGGGACTGTCTCTCTTCGGGGTCCGACTTGGGTTGCAGGGGCTTCAGCTTGTAGTCTCTCAGAATGAGACAGACCATCATCGCTACCAGCACAACGATTCGAACAGCGGCCACGATATCCAGAATATCGAGAAGACCATGGTGGACGCGGAATGAGTTCTTCTCAGAAGAAAAGACGGCAGCGATGAAGGCCTCAAAGAGCGCACCTACAATCCACGCATAGAAATGCGCCGATGTTGGCGTCCATGGGCCTTCAGGGTCAGGAAGTAGGCCAGCTAGATAGTACAATAAGACGGCAACGTAGGATGCCTATGCAAGTATCAACACCAGAGTTCTTCGATGGGGTGTACTACCTGGAGACCCCACTCACCAGATAAGCACTGAACGGGAAAACGACTTCGCCAGTCCCATCGTATTGGCCAGCAACAGCGCCGTGAACGGCAAGGATGATGGTGGCAAGCTAGGGAAAAAAAAAAAGTGTGAGCTTTGAGGACAACTCAAGATCTGTAGACGTGTTTCCCAGACTCACGAGTAAGAGAGAGAGTATGAGCTGAAAGCCCCAGATTATCCGCGCGTACAGTCGCGAAGCTTTCTTCTGCTCATCGTCTGTCGCGGTCTGACGCGTGACGCCATGACGGTCCCGGTAGAATTGAAAGGACTGCGCCGCCAGTAAAGTGACAAAGAGGCCGCAGGGATAGAGATAGAAGGCGACCTCCAGTCCCAGCAGAGTCTCCGCCATGACTTTAGCCGTTTTTATTCAATTTGAGGGTGTGTTGAACGAGGTCAAGCTCATGATGGCAGTTGGGATGATGTCAACTCCCGACGGTGCCGCAGATTCTCCGACGGACCTCCCTGGCGCAATTGGGCTGCACGGACTACAAACGGCGGGAGTTCCTCGGGCACTGAGAATGGTGTGAGAGCACGTGACACTACATCTCGAATCAGGTAAGCTGAGCACGTGAGATGGAAGGGATGGAAATCTGACCTTACCTAATCATCTTGCGGCACAGTCAGCGTCTAGCTTCCACGGGCCTCAGCTCTGGCCGAATTCTCCAACGCCCGGCGAATTTCTCGTTAGGTTCACAAAAGGTCCGTTCATTCTCGCGCCATTCATCCATGAGTCTATGAATCAGCACCAGAATCAGCGCCGCCCATCCGATGTTTATCTACTCAACGTTGCCGTTCTTCGGGTTACGAGATCATAAGGTGTGCCCCAAGCGAGCCGATTTCCCGTCAGGCTAACGCAGCACTTTCTGCCTGACCTGTCCAACTTGGTCCAAGACTCGAGGGTTCTAGAGCCGATGTCTTTGACGAAGCGATCCAAGGCCAACAACACAAAACAGCGCAATCCCCACGCCGTCTCGTGTCCATAATTTGAGATTACCGTCCGGGGGCTGTGCCCGCCCGTGTTCCCCACGCTGGATGATCGCCCTGATCGCCCTGACAGCAGTTACCATGAACTCTAGAATCCTTGGCATCGCGTCTTTCAGCAAGATGTCGGGACAGCCCGCACAAGGCGACAAACCAGGCGCATTTCAATGTCTTGGCATTGAGCTAGCCGCAAGGGACCGCACCATGATAGCTTTCTTCGAACACAATTCAAATCCCCATATGTCTATTTCAAGCCCCTGACGATCTGTCAGTGGGAGGGACGCTTACTCGGTGATTTAGTTTCCCCCTAACACAGAATTCGCTCGCCTAAAAGCCTAGGTGCCGGGTGCCGAAGACCGAATTCATCCCAGATCGACCATGGCTGCAGCGGCATGCCCGTGGTGCCGTATTCCCTTGGAGAGAAACACCCCGCATGCTCATGCCTTTGTTCCATATTTGTAACGCGAAGCAAACCAAAGCGTTCCACGCCCGATCGGGTTGGACGGCAACTTTACGGGGCTTCTGATTGGACTGTCGACGTCTCCAGGGATACATGGTTCACATAATTCTGTCGCGTAGTCAGACGTGGTGCAAGGAGCTAGGGCTGGGGCGACACATGTCGGTGGCCTCTAGACTTTGGCAAAGTGTCTGAAGACTGCCGGCGCCCGAAGCTCCAGGGCCCGAGAGGGTCGCTTTTTCTTCTTCGAAGCACGGGTCCCGCGGCCACGACTAACACTCATCTGGTCGGGCGAACACGACATGGACACCACGGCCTCGACATGGAGCCATCAAAACGGTGAGCACAGCCGTTCGCCCTAAACAAAGGAGGCGCTCATTTCGTTCCCTCTTTAGTGTGCTGGCGCAGCTCTTGCTACGGTCAAATTCAGGCTCCAGAGTCGTATTTCTTTTTCTTGGAATCGTTCTCCGGTTTCGATCTTCCTTGTTCACTTGATGTTTACTGTTCTTTGTTTCTGTTATTTTAATACTGCCACCTTCTCCAACCTTGACGGTGTCATACCTGGATAGATTGAAGCCATCGTCACTCTATCAAGGTCGACAAAAAGCCACCCTCGACGCCATTTTGAGGGCCGCCGCAAGCCACTCGACACTTTGTTTTCTCTTCTTCCTCTGAGCATGCAACTTTGCCATATACCCCGGTCCTTGACGTCAGAAACTTCCCTTGACTTGTCTTTCCTTCCATCTCTTTGCTTGTCGCCTTCAATATAGGTGTTCTCGTACATACAAGCTAAACATCATGGCCGATCTCACAACTAGCCTGGCTACCAGGTCACTCCCGAAAATCGAGACGATCCAGAATGGACCACTGTCAGGTCTCCAGGCATATGGGTCGCTCCTCCTCGTCTCAAGCGTCATCGTCGTTGTACTCATCGCCAACATCCTCGAACGATGGCTACTGGAAAGAGTATACGGCGAGATCTATGCAGTCTTACAGCGCCCTGAGAACGAAAAGAGACGGCGCTCCTTCACGTACTAAGTCAACATACCCACTTCCTGGCACCCCCCTGTTTCTGGCACCACAAAAACGGTGGGATCACAACCCAACCTCTTCATTACTATTAACTATTGATCCTCAACCACACCCACTACAATACAGCTGC